ACCTGGGTTTCTGCCACATTAACAGTGCAGAGGAATAACTATCTTATAACTATGGTGAGGAGATCCAGTTGTGATGTAGAGACCAGGCAGATCCGTAGAGCAGGAGAGTGACAGGTTTATGTTCGTGGGAGTAGCTGTAGGCTTCCCAAAAAATGCCTGCGAGAGCTTGTCTTTGGGTTGGGTTGGTGGTTGGATCATAACAATTCATACACATGGCTCAGATATCCCAAATAAAGTATTGCTTCCCATTGTGATATTGGCCATAATTTGCTTCATTGCCTGGCAGTTTCAAATTATTTGACAATAAAAGTGTCAGCAAGCCTATAAAAGTAAAACACATGCTTAGAGGAAGATGATGCTTTATTTTTTAAAAATGGTATACAGTGACTTTATGAAGAAAAGAACCATGACTTTTTATATTCCACAGTGTTCAGATCTAAAGAGTTAGCAAAGTGTTTCATGATGCTTCACAGTCAGAGGTTAAGAAAGCTAAAATCAATATCGAAATACATTTTATTTTTCTTGGCTTGGAAGCCAAAAATGTAACTATAAATTTGCGTTTTGTGGTGCCAATATTCTGTGAAAGTAACGCAGCCATGACTTACTCATCCGTTCTGTTTCAGAGGGACAGGAGGGGAAAGGAGCTTTCCGTGCATCCTGTTGTGTAGTGTTTCAGTTCCAGTACTGACTTACAAGCCTTGTATTCACTTTAAAATTGACAGGACTTGAAATATTTCTTCCAAACCGCCCTCCTGGGTTCCTGCACAGGGAGCAGAACCCCAGTGCAGTTGTACATGGAAGGGCTGAGGAGCTCCTGTGAGGAGGGGCACATCCAGCCAAGCCTTTCTGCAAGGCTGTGGCATGTCACACGTTCCTCCTTCTTTTTGACTATGATACTGGTTTATGTACAAAGTTATATAAAGTTGTGGTTTCAGGTTTTTCCCTGTGAAAGGAATTAAATGCCCTTAGTCATTTTTGAAGGTGACTTATAAAAGAGAGGCAGAAGGCAACCTGTTTTTCGATGCTCTTGGCTAATGTTGTATTACTGGTGGGTAAGAAAGGCATTCTGTCAGTAGGGCAGCTGACAGGTTATCTGATTTTGCTTATGCTTTGCATTGTTCAATTTTAGTTAGTAATGTTTACAGTGTTTTGCAATATGTTTGGGAGGAAAGATTCTATGTATACGTAGAACTGACGCCTCCACCAGGAGAGTCATGCCCCTGCTTCCAAGAAGAAGTTTGGGCTATTTTTGCTATGCGTCTTTTACTCGTGATGTAGCTTCTTAGTAGTTCTAGGAAATAAATGGAAACAGTAACAAGGAATTTTTTAGAGGGTGCCCGGGTCTTCTGACTGTTAACTCTGCTTTACACATCGTGCACTTCTCACCCTGAAATGAAGGCAGGTAGGTTTTCGTTGCTTTTGCTCCCCACAAAATGACACGAAGCAAGATTAACTTCTCTCTCAGAAGATTTAAAAAGAAATTGAGCTGACTTCCTCAGCCTCAAGCTAAATCAGTGAGGAGTTTGCCATACAACCAAGCATCTCTCTTTGGTCAGCAAAACTCCTTCTCCAGCCACCATCCCTTTCAAATGCCTCAGAAATCCGACAGCCTCAGACTCATCATGTGCTGAAAAATGGGGAAAGGGTTGTTCTGGAATGAAACTTCTCATCATTCAACAGAAAACTGAATTCAAAACTAAGTTTTGTAATAGACAATATATACAGTCTGCTAGCACTTAATTTATCTGAAAGGGAAATATGATAGAGTTTGGAGAATATTGTATTATTACACATGTTATTCTGTCTTACGCAGTTCTTAAAACGTAAGCCATAGACCCAGATGCATAGAAGGCCTATTTTCCTTTTTGTGTTTTAATTTGTTTATATTGCTGCTACATTTGATAACAGTCCAAATAACATTAAGTAATGGTTTCTGTACATGACCCTTTTAAGACTGCACTATCAGGCAGGTAATTTTGTACATGCAGTTGAGAACATACTAGAATACACTAATAATATCTTTTTCACTAGCAGTTAACCATCTAATTTCAGGGTAAAATAAATTTTTTTTTTCTAAAGAACCTGCTTTTAGAATTTTTTTCCGGTTAGTCAACAGGAGAAGATAGTAGCTGTCATACATTTTATTTGACTTAAATGTGCTTCACCACTTACTTTGCCTGGCAGGCAAATATACAAAACTGGGATCTTCTCAGGCTCCCATTATTTTCTCAGGATAACTACAATATCTGGGCTATTTCCATGTCTTGGGCAACATTTTAACTAATGGATATGTTCCCAACTGAAGTTAAATGGAATAGAATTCCCCGTAAGAGCCAAAATATCTCCCAAATGTCCCATTTGGTTTGGATGCTTTCTCACTGAAGCGTTCAGGCTGGATGGTGTGTTGTCCTCTGTGGTGGAATTTGAAAGATCATCTTCCCTCATGTCTCCTCTTGTCTGGAAGCCAAGAAACCTGAACAAATGGTGCTTCCTAGGTTGTGAGCCTTGTTTTGGTGTACATTGGCTTTGTGATTTCTTTTTTTTCCATTACTCAGTGCTCCAGTAACTTGAAAAGCTATTTAACAGCCACCGAGTGATGAATGGGTTTGAGAAAATGATGATAATTGTAAGATTAAAGACATCACTAAAGTTTTGCCTCTGGTAAGTTCAGAATAACTGTTTTCCAGGGAAAATATACAAAGCATAGCAACTTCCAGTAGGCATGGACAGGGAGTTTGGTAAGTTGTTGGTCCCAGCTTTACTGTCACCATGCTGACTGGACATTTACACTTGTAAATGCAAAGGAGTTGGGCCACAGAACTGCTGCAGATCCCACAAAGCACCATGCAGCTTGATTTGTGATTTTGAATGGGTCCATTCGGGATGGGTTAAAAAATTTAGAACTGATCTGACATCTGCATCTTGTTGGCACATTGCAGCATGTAGGCATGACTTTTAGTTGCTGCAACTAGTTTTCTGTATCCATAGATTTTCTATGAGTACCTTTAGTTATTTTTAGAAGCGAGTCTAACCATAAAATCAAACCTGAGGCAGTGTTGGTGGGGTTTCTGATTTTGAGGTTTGGCTAGGCTGGTTTACAGTTGCTATGCTGCTGTCTGAGGGTATTTTTTTCACCCTGTGCATCTGGCATTTTCTGCCTGTTGTGTACCTTTTTTCAACTCACAACTTTCTGTTCTAGCATTCCGTGTTTCGTGTTGAATTGAACATATGTAGTGTTTGTATCAGCTCGGTGTGTACATATCTAACTTTGCAGGTCTCTCTGTAGCACTCTCCTGAGGAGTTTGCTCCTGTAGCTTTAAGCCTTGTGCAGCTCTGCATCTGTAACCACTGGGTTTGTTCCTGAAGTTCCAGTCCTGCAAGTCTCTCTGCAGGTGAACCTTGCCCAGTTTGGGGAGGCTGGCGGTGACTGCAGCAGGGCTTGCACTCAGTGCAAGGATTTGTTCATGGAGGAAATTGTTGGGTGGATTTTAAAATTTCCTGGAGTAAATCTTCCTCAGTGTGTGTCTGTGTATGCAATGCAGCAAGAAGAGTCTGCTGAAATATTCTTTAGCTTTATCCTGGTTGCCTTTGTTTACTCAGTGCCCGTTGCTTTCAGCAGCAGGTATGTTGGAAACAGTGAACAGCTGTAGCACTTTCTGTGGTAGCTTATATTTATCCTTACCCTGTCACATTTGCTGGCTGGGGACGGAGCTGCTCTGCAGAGTTTTCCTAATTACTGCTGTAACTAGCTTTCAGTGGCAGAGAGGGTCCCCCAGTGGAGTGGCCCTGCCTTCTGCTTGTGTTGTCTGACTGACCCTGCTGTGAAAAAGCAGCAAGAGGAAGAAAACTCCGAGGTTTTTGAACACAGTGAAGGAAAATCATATTTCTTATGATGGTTCACCTCTCATATAGTTGTTTGGGCTGGTTGGAAGAAGACTTAAATTAGCAGATTTCAACTCTGACTCGTTACCTTAGAAATCAGGAGGTCACACAAACAGTGTGTGTCAAGACCAAAGTCTTAGATGTAAAATGTGCTTTCTTGTAACCAATATATGATGAACTAAGGGGATTATTTGCTCAAGTATTGTCTGGTCCAAATGGTTATTTGGTTATTTGCTGATTTCTGAGCCTGCTGAAACCAGTGCAATGCCTTATCAGGTAGGCTCGAGAAGACTTACAAATATCTAACATGGCCCTCACAGGGCTGTAGAGTCCCACTGGCTATTCCTGTAGATTGATTTCTGGCAGCTGAGCAATCTGTGGTGAATCACTGATTCATGTATAGAATAATTATGCTTCTCAAGGGGTAAGGCAGGGGTTTTGTCCCCATAAGAAAAGGTACCTAACAATATTTTTTCTTCTACCTCTGATGCAGAAAACTGTACTACATGTACTTTTCTTGTTGGATCTTTCCACAATGCTTGTTCCTTTAATTCTTGGTAGGCAATTTTGTCTTAATGGAAAGTTTACATTGTGAGCAGTGGCAGTCAACCTTTAATGGGGACATTGTATTCAAACCATCAGATGTGTTTTGACACTTAGATACGAAAGGCCATAATTTAATTGACATTTCTCTGTTAAGTGGGATTCTGTTTTGGATGTTGGGTGCTTTATGTGCTAGCATTTCTCAGGAAAGAAAAAAAGGACTTTTTTTTTTTTCTGAGAAAAGGTCCTAGAAACTGGAACTGAAGAGGTTGAAGTGGATTCCTCATGTACTTTTTATCTTCCTTCCTGTGTTCTCTCAGCATTTCCATCCAGGACCAGCACAGCCCTTAAGGGCTATTTAAGCCATATGGGATGCAGATACCCTTCTGCTGGGAGATTCCAAGGGACTCTTGTCTCATTTTACTGAGGAACAGCGTTCAATTGGTGATTATGTGGCAAACTACCAAAATGCACATGACTCTTAAGTGCAGAGCAAGAGAAAGGTCTACTATTATATGTTCTACTATTTCTTCGGAGCTCAATTTTCATTTCTTCCTCCTCTGTTTCCTTTTCAGCCTGTTTGATATGGGAGGGGAGTATTACTGCTATGGCTCTGACATCACCTGCACCTTCCCTGCCAGCGGGAAGTTCACTGCTGACCAGAGGGCTGTCTACGAGGCAGTGCTGAAGTCATCGAGGGCTGTGATGAAGGCAGTCAAACCAGGTAAAAGATCAGCACATGTCAGCAGGAATTGAAAAGCTTCGTGGCAGCACTCAGGCTGTCAAGTCAATTATGTTTGCAATTCAGAAAGTGCTGGAAAGGAACAAGATGATAAAATTAATTTCCGTGTCTGGGCAGTTCCTGATGTATAGAGGTAGGACACAGAACACTCTCCACAAACTTTTAAAAGTATAACACAAAACCAGTTATTAACAGGATATTTTAATCTTAGTTTTGTGGGTTTTTAATTCCTTTAATCTGGGGGTGACAGTTATTAATTACTTGGTTGTGTCTTTATACTGCCATCTTTTTGGGAAGCTTATGCCAAACACTGAAGTCAGAGTTTGGGTGAACACATGTGCTGTTCTTCAGTTTGTTTCAAGCATTTTCTGTATTTTATGTGTAAGCACAGTAGAAATCTGCTGTTGAAAAAGAGTGTGCATCTTTGGGAAGGATAATTAGCCTTAAAACCCTTTCAAAAGCGCTGGCTATTGGGTACTTCACTGTGTGCCTTTAAATTGCAGGCAAGCTAATTCATCAAATATACCTTTTCATAACTGAAACAACTGTCTGGCTTAATGAAAATCTTATTTTTCTCTGATTCTGCTTTTGGGGCAGCAAATAAATGTTTTAGAGCTAACTGCTGCTGAGATTTTGTGTGTGTCATGGTGAAGGTACTTGAGCATTTCTCAGTATTAGTAATGGAACAGCTTTGAGAGGAATGTACTCAATGCACAAAGCACACTTATCCTTTAAATTTGCCATTCAGTCATCAGGCCTTGAGTGCAGGGGCTCTCTGGATTGCCAGTCGGAACAGATGCAGTTTTCCTGTTATACAAGCTGGCAGCAGCACTGTTTATTTGAGCAGCTTGGAAGGGAGAAATAACACTTGATGCTTATCTGCAAAATGAGACTAGATATTTGGCTTTTTAATAAGTGTGCGTTCTCCATCATCTGCTGTGTCTCCTCTGAAGAATCTTGTCCCTATTCCTCTTCATAGTTTGCTTTGCATTTCAGTACCACCTTTATTTTCATGTAACATTTTTGGCAGTATTTCATGCTAACAAGTTGCAGACTGTCTTCAGAACTTGAGAGCTAATACGATGTTGTGCTCAGGATGGTGTAGAGAATTCCTCAGTTTGCTGAACAGTTTATTTACAGTGTCAGAAAATAAGGACATAGTAAGTTGAGTATTTCTGAAAGGTAGCTGCGAGGATCTTTTACTGGCTTTGGGAGCTTGAGATTCACAGGCAGAGAAATCATTCTTTACATCTGGCAGAAGATGGGACTGAATTTTCTCACTGTGCTTTAGTTGCCTTTCCTATTTGGAAGAATGGTGCAAATATGCATTTATGCTCTTCGTGAGACTGGTAATCATGAATTTTCTATCTACAGAAAATGTTCTGTAGACTGGTTCATTGGTTTCTTTCCTTCTGTTCCTCAGAGCAGTGAAATGCAACCTGGACCATTTGCAGTCTTGAATTACAGATCCAGTTAGAGTCCTCCCAACGTGCAAAAAATGTCGCTATCTGGAAAAGTCTGCTTTTTAGGTCCTTTTTAGGATCTCCTGGAAGACTGGTATTCCGAAAAAGAAGAGATGGAAACTGTGGCCTTTATAGCATGGTTAGTGTTACATACTTGTCAGGCTGCTGAGGAAGCCCAGAGCCCCTCGAAGGGGAGGATACAAACTGACTGCATTGTCACTGCTGCCCACGGGGAGACATTTCAGTGGGAGAGGCAGAGCCTCCTTCTCCTCCTTGAACTAACCAGCTTGTTAACTCATTGACTAAAGCACTAGAATCTACTCCTGGGACTATCACAGAGGGAGCAGGAATTGATGATATGAATTCACCTCTTCTCTCTGTAATACTTTAGGTCTCTGAAAAAGGAGTGGGAGAAGCTTGCAGGATTAGAGGCACTAAATTTAAAAGCCAGCCCCATCATGTTTCACTCAGATTTTCTGAATTACGGAGCCCACGTTAATTTTGCTGCTATTTTTGTTTGTCTTCCTTTCCCAGGGTTCCCAAGGTCAGAGGCAGCCGAGTGGCTGTGGGCCCGTGGCAGGAGCCACTCGTGGGGCAGGCTGGGCAGAGGGAGTGCACACAGCACGGGCAGCAGCTGTAGGAAATGGGGGTTCTCTCCAGCTGCAGAATTGGGCCCTTATTTGTGCCTTGTGGCAAAGGGTCACAGAGACATCTCGTTCTTGTCTTCAGGATGTTAATGATTCCCGGGGTCTTTCTCACTGCAAGATAGGGAGCAAGTACTTTAGGGGGAGTCACTAACCAAATACTGGGTTGCATAACTGTGTTTATGGAAGGACACACAACTGCTAGCAACCTTAAACATTCTGTATAGATGTGTGTGGTTCAGAGATTTGCATTTATTTTTTCAGCTTGCCTCTCATATGAACCTAATTAACTCTCAAGTGAAGTTACTTTCTGAGAGATAATAGACCTCCTAATACATTTTGTTTATACTTTTATATACAAACAGTTGTCATAATTTTAAAAATACTCCAAAACATTGTATTTCACTGTAGAAAAGCATTCATCTGACTACATCCTGTGCGTGGTCCAAATGTGCAAACAGCTCTAATCATATATATGGGTTACCCTACCTTCCAACTGCAAGAACAGAATTCCTTCTGCAAGCCAAATAATATATTCTGAAAGTTAAGAAACACTCTCTGCGGGATTATAGCCCAAGTTCAGTGCAGTCGTCACAACTCCTGCCACAAATCAAATCTGTTTAAAATAAAAGGGGAGAGAGACATACTCAGTCTTGCATAAGCAGCAGTTTTGAAACCACGGAACATGGAGCTCATATGAAGGCTGAGATGCTTGTCACTGAAGCAAAAGTCAAAAAGGTGTGCTTGTGTGGCAGTGGGGTGATTCTCTCTTTCCTACAAAGTCAGGCTTATGATCCAAGATGTCAGAGAGGAATGTTGCATTTCTACTTGGGGGATATTCTTAATTGTGTCAAGTCCATCTGCGTTAAATTTCCCCTTCCACAGAACTAAAATACAGGGACAGATGTGCAGAATATTGACACTTCCATGTCCTTCGTGGCTGAGGCATTGGCTGCTTCTTTCTCAGAACAGTGATTTGTGAAACAATTTGCTTTACAGAGATACTCTACGTAAAAAGAGTTGTTAAAAAAGAGTGACATTGTAAAGCCAAGTATCACAGAGTATTCCAGAAGTTAGTGTCCTAATTTGCCTCACTTCTGCGTTGCTTTTTAATCTCATTAAATTTGCCAGATTGGTTGAGGAACATTAGATGCAGTCCTGGAGCACATCTCCCACTTTGCTTTCATCTGAAATGAATTCAATTCATGCTTCAAAACTCCACTGAGTAAACAAAAACACAGTAAGTGGGGACAGCCAAGAGCTTTCACCTCCAAGGATGATTGGAATGAAAATGTTCCTGTAGATATATTCATTGTTTCTGTCTCTGCTGTCTTCACACGATGCATATAACAGTAAGGGCTGAGCTAATGAGCAGCTACACAGGAATTCAGTTTAACCTTTTGTTCCATGTCTGGCCTGGAGCTGTTTATTGCCTACTGTTCAAAGCCTGCTCTGAATCTAAAATTATCTACATCCTCACCGGTTTTTGTCAGAGCGCTCATCATAGCAGTACCCAGGTGCTGGGCATGCAGGAAGTTTGTTTGCACTGCATCTCAGTGATGTGGAAGTGTTCAGCAGTCCCCCTTCTGCAAGCCTGGGCTGGCAGGCTAGAGAAGCTGGTGGAAAAACTATTGACTCATTTGGGATGCCAAGATTGAAACTCATCAGACTCGAGATCTTTTTTAAGGGAGTTGAACCCTGCTCTTGCTCAAACCCCAGCTGTTTTGACCTCTGTTACAGCTGTTGAGTGCCCAGCCTTTCTGCAAATCACACTCCAGATTGTCAAGCCAAACTTTGGTCAAATGAAAGAAAATGATTAATGAACAAATGAAAAATAAATAAATAAAAATAAAAAAAAACCTCTGTGTTTGAAGCAAGTTGCTTAGCATCCTGCTGGCAATCTGAGTCTGATGCAAGAATGGTTGCTAATTCCCAGAGGCAACGTTTGGTGCATTTGCCATGCTTGCCTGCTTGTGAAGTCTCTTGTTTCTTTTCCTGCATGTTTTCAGCTTTTGCAACAGATGGGAGAGGAGTTATATAAGGAACAGATATCTTCAGTGGTTTAGCAGGAGCTGTGCTTGCCTTGCAAATAAGGGAACCCTAGAAGTAAATCATTTAGGGCTTCTTGTGGATTTGCATGTTGTGGTTGGTAGGAAGCTTTGGTTGATCTGGTGAAAGCTTTTCCACTGGGCTGAAGTACTTCTGAGGCTCTCCTCCCTGTGAATTCTCCTGTCTGTAGTAATGCATGAATGGATGTTGCAGTTTTGCTTGCATCAGGTCTTCTGTCCTTTAGCCAGCTGCCTGCGTTACAAAACGTAGCACTGGGTCTGTTCTCTGGTGGGTGGCACTGAAAGTCTCTAAAACATGTTAAAGGTTTTATTGGAGGACTGGAAAAGGCAGCATCATCAAAAAGGCCTTGTTACTACTGAAGTCCTATCTAAAGGAGTAGATGGTCGTGTAACTAAAGGACTGGACTGTAACACGTCAGCACTGAGGGTCCAAGCAAAGCTCACCCAGACAGTGTCAGTTGATATTGCTCAACTCTGGAGTCCTTGATGCTATAGCCATAAAAATACTGCTTTTAGTGTAGCTCCCCCCAAGCCCTCTAATTGCCCAGGCTTAAAAAAGGCAAACTGTGGTGGAAAAAAAGTATTGTGTAGCACACCCTCAGTAGGAATAAGGCTGCAGAGTGCAGTGGTTAAGGGCAGGGTGTGAGGTCTCAGCTCTGATGTCTGTAGGACATCCCCTGGACAGCTGTCATGGAATCACAGAATAAAAGAATCAACTGGGTTGGAAAAGACCTCTGAAGTCATCGAGTCCAACCCTTGATCCAACCCCACCGTGCTTCCCAACCCATGGCACTGATGCCACATCC